CTATTTACCTTCTTGGTCATTTTCTGATCTTTAATTTGGGTAAAAAAAAAAACAAAACAGTTTTATCTTGTTGGATTTTGGTAAGGAATTGAATAAGTTAAAATATGTAAAGTCATTAGAATACTCCCTGGCATGGATTATTTCTCAATAAACATTAAGAATCATTATCTTGGAAGCTAGATGTTTATATATATTTGCAATTATTTCTTTTGAATACATTCCTAGAAGACAGATATGTACATTTTTTTCTTTTTGTGTGTTCTGATCATAAAAGGAAAATATGTTTATTGTTAAGGCATTAGCGATACTTGCTATAGAAAAAGAAAGTCCTCTATAACTCTATTTCTTCAGATAGAGTTATTTATAGTAATTTGTTGTATACACGTCCAAATATATTTCTATATGCACAAATATGGACAATATCATATAGTATTTTTTAATAAAATTGGGCCCACATACATATTATTTTATTGTGTATGCCTAAACATCAGGGGATCTTTATATTCAATGACTATTTCTAAAAACCTTTTTTTTTCTTCCTTAAATAAACATTTCAAATATAGATGAAATAGAAAATACAGAATTTGGGGCACCTGTCTGGCTCAGTCAGTAGAGCACATGACTCTTGATCTCAGGGACATGAGTTCAAACCCCAGACTGGGCATGGAGCCTACTAAAAAAAAAAAAAAAAAAAGAAGAAGCAAAAAAGGAAAATACAGAATTTATCAACTTAGTTATACCTTTACATTTGAAATCACACATTGTATAAAATATAGGAATTTAGAGTTGCACTGTTGCCTTTTAAAATTAATTAATTACTTTTAAAAAAAGATTTTATTTATTTACTTGAGAGAGAGATCATGAACAAGGGTAGGGGCAGAAGGACAGAGAGAAGCAGGCTCCCCACTGAGCGGGGAGCCCGATGCGGGGCTCCATGCCAGGACCCTTAGATCATGACCTGAGCCGAAGGCAGATGCCAACCAATTGAGCCACCGAGGCGCCCCAGTTTCGTTTTAAAATGGTTTTATCGGGCAACCTCTATCAGCATCTCAAACTCATTGATCAAGGTTGTTTGAGGATGTGCCTTGTTTACCCAGTATTTAACATTGATTGGATCCCGGTGATTAAAAATACATAGATTTTGGAGACATTTGGGGACATTTTTATATGGGATATATGCTGTATGATATTTTGAAAATATTATTTTTCTTGGATGAGATAATGCTATGGTAGGAGAATGAGTTAGGAGATCATGGTGGAAGTGTTTAGGGGTGAAGTGTCATGATGTCTGCACTTTATTTTCAAATGATTCAGTAAAGAAAAATGGAAGGGCAGGGAGATAAAAAGCAAATGGTAGAATGTTTACAATTGGTAACTGTAGGTGGTAAATATATGAGGGTGTTCACCGTAGTGTTCTCGCCACACTTTTCCATGAATTTGAAATTTTTCAAAATGAAAAGTGGGATAATAAAGACTTTCTTCCCCCTCAATATTATAAAAACATTCATCTGCATTTACTTCTAGGACTTTTATATTTTCATATCTTACAATTAAATTTATATTGAATTGGACTTTAGTTTTGGCATAAATGGTGAGATATGGGTCTCACTTCATTTGAAGTGCTACTTTGTAGTAAATTCTTTTAAATCTGAGGTTTTTTTCCTTTCCATTCTGTGGTAACCATACTATATTTCTTATGTAATTTTATGGCATTTAAAAAAAATTCTAATAAGGTAAATCTCTCCTCTTTATTCTTCCTCTTATAATCTTCTTGTATTGTCCAATGTCTTTATTCATCCAGGTGAATTTTGGAATAAACACATCGAGTTCATGATTAATTTGCATTTTGTTAAAATCATAGATTAATTTGGACAGACTGGACTTTTATATAATTTAGCCTTCTCATTTCAATAACATTGGATTTCTCTGGGTATCAGAAAATCCTTCAGAAGTTTAAGTAACCATCACAGAGCTATTTTGTTTGTTAGGCTTTTAGCTGACAGAGTAAATAAATATAGTATTTACTTCACTTACTATACATTAGATATAAGGAATGCAAAAGTTATTAAGACAGCATCACTGCTGCACAAAGAGTTTATAAAGAAGAATGGTTGAAATGTGGTTCTGTGGGAAAATACAAGCATTTACAAGGTATACAGAATTTTCGTGAGGGAGAGTATTAAATTCTGGCTGGGATGGGTAGGCTCACCAGAAGTGACTGATGCCTGAACAAGAATTTATTTATTTATTTATTTATTTATTTATTTATTTTATTTTATTTTATTTTTTTAAATTTATTTAGGAGAGAGAGAGCAAAAGCCGGGTGGAGGGACAGAGGGAGAGGGAGAGGGAAAGAGAATCTTAAGCTGGCTCCACACTCAGCTTGGGGCCCCACGTGGGGCTTGATCCCACCACCCTGAGATCATGACCTGAGCTGAAATCAGGAGACCAACATTCAAATGACTGAGCCACACAGGTGCCCCTACCTGAGCAAGAATTTAAATATTTTTTTAAATATGATTTTATTTATTTGAAAGAGAGAGCATGAGCAGTGGGGAGGGCTAGAGGGAAAGGAAGAAGCAGACTCCCCACAGAGCAGGGAGCCCATGCTAGGCTCAATCCCAGGACCCCAGGATCATGACCTGAGCAGAAGGCAAATGCTTAACCTACTTAACCTATCCAGGCACCCCTTTGAGCAAGAATTTAAAAGATGAATAGGTACTTACCAGGAAGCCAGATTATTCTATATCAGAGTATCAAATCAGAGGGAATATAGCAGATATAAAAGCATAGAGGCCTGGGACACCTGGGTGGTTCAGTCGGTTAAGCGTCTGACTCTTGGTTTCGGTTCAGGTCATGATCTCATGGGTCGTGAGATTGAGCCTCTGGTCAGGCTCCATGCTCAGTGGAGTGTCTGCTGGAAGATTCTCTCCCTCATCCTCCCCTGCCAGGGTGCTTGCTTTCTCTCTCTCTAAAATAAATAAATAAAGCTTTAAAAAAAGAGAGAGAGAGCCATAAGAGTCCAGGAGGTATCTTGTGTTAGTGTCTTATTTAGCTGTCAAAAAAAGACACAGGTTAATTGCTTAACATTTTATGGGATTAATAAAATGACTCATCAGTTTTCAAAACTCTGTGGATAAGGATGTAACTGTTCTGTAAATTGAAGTTGTGTCACTGTTACAGGGTTCACAATTGTAGCCTTTGTCTATCATCTCATAAATATTTGTAGTCAACCATCTTTTCTGGGCTTATTCTTCACCTTTAAAAAAGGGGGTGGGGAGGCTGAACTTGATTTCGTATACATTTCTGCTCTAAAATCATCCTGTGCAATTTATTTTCCTTGGTACGTTTGTTTCTGTGTGCTCAGTGCTGTGCTGGGTTGTGTAGTTTACAGAAATAGAACTATGGCTCCTCTTTTTGACAAATCAGTTTTGTTGGAGAAACCAACCCATGGCAATGTTAAAAAGAAGTAATGTGTACGAGCTGATTGGTTTATGATACAGCCTATAAATTCATTCGTTCATTCCCTGTTCTTAGGAAGTTTGCAATCTAGTGGGGAGACAATAAACCAGTAAACAAGTAAATATATAGCATGCTAAAAGGTGACATGCATCCTGGAGGTCAACGAAGCAGGGAAGTGTATACATTGGGGGTCTGGCTTACTATTTAATGTGGTGTGACAAGAGAAGCCCCTCTTAACGGAATGACGTTGGACCAGAGACCTAGGAAGTGAAAGAGAATGAAACATATGGTCTATGTAATGTAGGAATGTGGGGGAAGAGTATTACAGGCAGAGGGAGCCACAGGGGCAAAGGCCCTTGGGTGGGAGCATGACTGGCTTATTTGAGGAACAGTGAGGAGGCCACTGTTGCAAAAGCAGTGTGAGAGGGAGAAGGTGAGTCCACTGATGGAAGGAGGGGATGATTATTCAGGGTCGTGGAGGCCAGCGTCAGGGAGTTGGCTTTTCCTCCCAGTGAGACAGAAAGCTATTGGAGCATTGTAAATGGAAGTTTGGTATGATTTGACCTATGTTTTAGAAGCACCACTCTGTTATGTGAAGATTAGAGTATAAAGACGCAGGGGCAGAAGACGGGAGACTGGTTAGGAGGCAGTTGCAATCATCCTGGTAGGATGGTCCGTGGCTTGGACCAGGTGATAGCAGTGGAAGGTGGTGAGAAGTGCTGAGACGTGGTGGCATTCATGATAAGAATTCTGACGTAATCCATTTATGGAGCTGGAGACTATATGAGACAGCTATGGAAGAAAATAGTTAAATTGGAGATGCTTCTTAAGACACCTAAGTGGAGGTGTCAATAAGGTAGTTAGTTAAATGAGTCTGGAATACAGAAGAGGGTACCAGGCTCAAGATACAGAGGTGGTATTTAAAAGCCACAAGTTGGTGGGGACAGCCAAGTTAGAGAAGAGATGATCAAGGTGGATAGAGATCTCTTGCCTTCGGGGCACTCCAGGTGCTAGAGATCAAGGAGATGAGGAGAAACCAACAAAGGGGATTGAGAAGAGGAGACCAGAGAGGTGGGGTCCTGGTGTCTGAACTCCTCCTCCCGTTTTGAGGAGTTGAATGATCAGCGGTGACTTGAGATGTTGATAGGTAAGAAGAGAACTGAGAATGGGCCATAGCGTTCATGTAATGCAGAGAGAACTAGCCATTCCACTCATGATTTTATTCGTCCTAAATATTTTTCACTGCAGGATTTAGTTATTTCTGGCTGTTTTCACTGTCAGATTAACTATGAAAGTCGTTCCGGGCAATTTCCATAAGTTAGTCCTTTCTGATACGCAGCAAAAACAGTTACCACTAAGGATTGGTATGCATTTTTATTATTCGCGGTCGTATTCATCTTGGATAACCGGCACGTCTTTGTTAAGTGTTATTCTTCTTCACGTCCTCCTCAAGAGTTGCTTGTGCGTCCATTCGTTCATTTACCCAGGAAATCTCTCCAGCGCCTGTACCACGCCAACCCTAGGTTTTTCCTGCCCTGACATGCGATCTAATGTCTCCCTCGCGGCATCTTGCCTTTCTCGTGGCCCTTGGCTTCAGCCTCCCGGCGGTGGGGTTTTTCCAGCCTACCTTGTCCAGCTGCAGTTCTCAGCGTCGGCCCCTAGAGGCCTGACGTCGGTCAGCCGGTGCGGCCCTCCCACGCGTGGGAGGGAACCCTTCGGATGCTCCCGAGCGATATGTAGATGAGATGGGAGGGCACTATGCAGATGAGATGGGCGGGCCTCGCCGGGCAGGCCGCCTGGAGCTGAGGTGGGCGGGCTGCGAGCGGGCGGTATGCAGATGAGGTGGGCGGGGCCCGCCCGCGCGGGCGAGGAGCGGCTCCGCCGGCGGCCGCCGGGAACTGGAAGGCGCCCGGCCCTTTCTTTGACTGGAGCGGACCCGCCGGACGCAGCTGCCTCGCCAGCCGGAGCCGGCGCGAGCCGCAGCGCGGCGGACACCCTGTCCGAGGCCGGCCACCTGGCCGCTGCCGGAGTCGGCCGAGCATGGGCAACCACTCGGGGCGGCCCGAAGATCCCGAACCAGGTCTGTGCTGTCGGCGGGGGTCGCGCCGCGCCCCCTCCCCGGCCCGGCGCCCTTCCCCCACCCGCCTTTCGGGCCAGCGGCCGCCGCGCTGCCCCGCGGGCGCCCAGGGGCGAGTGGAAAGGTGAAGTTCCCGGGATGTGATTCTTGCCTTTGGAATGCGCCAGTGGGGTGGTGAAATTACCTGTGTCTGTGCCGCGACAAGGAAATGCCACTCGCTATAAGCACGTACCTGGAAGCCCTGGGTCCGCCCGGACGCAGCGAGTGGCGCGGGCGGGAGCGGGTCTCCGTGGCCGGGAGCACGCAGGCCAGGCCCGTGGAGAGAGGGGTCGGGGCGGGGGGCGCTCCGTGCCGATTTCCCGGTGGAATCCGCCCTGCCCCTCCTGTCTGCCGCCCAGACAGGGTCTCCAGTACCGTGCGCGTAGGCAGTTCTTGCAGACTTTCTGGGCATTTGCAACGAAAAGTGCGACTTGGCAGTCGTGTTCTGGTTCCTTGTCCATTTTGCGGTGCATCATTTGCATATTGCACACTTTCTGGAGTCCCGTGGAAGGTGGCAACCCGTCAGCAGATCTGTTACTCATCCTCACACCAAGGGCTTGATTGTGACTGTTTCTTGCCCAGAATAGCCCGTGCTTATTCTGGGATACCAAAAACTTCGCCGGCTTTTCCGATTTTTATTTCCTCAGAAATTAAGCGAGCCTGGTGGAGAGTCAGCTGGGCTCTAGTTTTCATCTTCTGGTTCATCATCGTGGCCTCCGGCACAGATTTAGATGCTGATAACCACGGGGTGTGTTTAAAAAGAAAACCAGAACATTTCTATTCTGTCACACGAAGGAAGTGGAATTTAATTTAGCCTCAAAAATTGCATCTTGGCTGATTGGGGAGAGATGGTCGACTTAATGCTGGAATCCTGGAGTGGCAGGTGGCGAGTATGTATGTGTTCCTGTGACAGAGTCAGAACCCTTCAAAAATTTCTCAAGGGTGTGATTTTTTAATTGGGGTTTGACTGAGGACGTTGAGGCTTTGAGAGGTGGAGTGACTTGTGCAAGTGACATCCCTGGCATTAGGAGCAGCACTGTAAGTAGACCTTTGGTCTTCCTAGCGTCTGTCCCTAGCTCTTCTTTTTTTTTAAAGATTTTATTTATTTATTTATTTGAGAGAGAGAGCACATGAGAGAGGGGAGGGTCAGAGGGAGAAGCAGGCTCCCCGCCGAGCAGGGAGCCCGATGCGGGACTCGATCCCGGGACTCTAGGATCATGACCTGAGCCGAAGGCAGTCGCTTAACCGACTGAGCCACCCAGGCGCCCTGTCCCTAGCTCTTGACTCACCTCCCAGTGCCTCAGCTGTGGGTCTTGGCAGGGAGGCCAAGTAGCCTTAGGCCGTATCCTTGGGCCTGGGCAGAGGTGGGGGTGCCTTGGACTGGTACAAGAACCAGGATGGAAAACTTTGCCCCACGGGAACATTATGAAGAAGACAGAGACAGGGTTACTGTGTAGATTACGTAGGAGTAACTCTAAATGACACAGCAGGTATCTGAACTTCTTTGGGCAGAACAGCCAATATTTGCAAAATAATGCCTTCGTCATAAACAGCGCTATGATAAACTATTAGGTAAAGGATATGTAACATTTTAAAAACACCTCATTAGCACACAACTGCCCAGGTGTGAGTAAAAACTCATTTTCTTTGTGTCAAAATTGCGAAGAGACTGCCCCTCTTGTTAGAGCTTTTAAGAGTTATTTGGGTTCCAACTTCTTTTTTTTTAATTTTTTAATTTTTATTTTTTAAAGATTTTATTTATTTATTTGACAGAGAGAGAAACAGCAAGAGAGGGAACACAAGCAGGGAGAGTGGGAGAGGGAGAAACAGGCTTCCCGCCGAGCAGGGAGCCTGATGTGGGGCTCCATCCCAGGACTCATGACCTGAGCCGAAGGCAGAGGCTTAACATCTGAGCCACCCAGGCACCCCTGGGTTCCAACTTCTAAGTGTTGTTGCTTTTTTTTTTTTATTTTTTTTTTTTTTATTTTTTTTAAAGATTTTATTTATTTATTTGAGAGAGAGAGTGAGAGAGAGAGTGAGCACGAGAGGGGGGAGCGGGAGAGGCAGACTCGCCGCTGAGCAGGGAGCCCGATGCGGGACTCGATCCCGGGACTCCAGGATCGTGACCTGAGCTGAAGGCAGTCGCCCAACCAACTGAGCCACCCAGGCGCCCTTTTTTTTAAAGATTTTATTTATTCAGGGGTGCCTGGGTGGCTCAGTTAGTTAAGCGTCTGCTTTCGGCTCAGGTTGTGATCCCAGGGTCCTGGGATCGAGCCCCAAGTTGGGCTCCCTGCTCAGCGGGGAGTCTGCTTCTCTCTCTCTCTCTCAAATAAGTGAATGAATAAAATCTTACTAGAGAGAGAGAGAAGACAGAGAAAAAGCACGAGTGAGGGGAGGAGCAGAGGGAGAGGGATGAGCACACACCCCTCTGAGTGGACAGCCTGATGCAGGGCTTGATTGCATGACCATGAGATCATGACCTGAGCCCAAATCAAGAGCCAACACTCAACCGACTGAGCCACCCAGGCACCCCAAAGTGACATTGCTTAAAGCATTCTAATGGACAGGAGATGAAAAGGACATTTTTATGCCAGGGACTTACTTCATTGCATTTTTCAAGAATGAATATAATTTCACAATGGGAAATCGATCTGATTTGCTACACGTAAAGATCACAGTTGGAAAATCTTAGGGACTAGTTAGTGTTGCCTGAAAGTGTGAGTATAATTTTAACTGGTCTCTTAATGCTGTGATGAAATGCTGTAGAATGCATCCCCAAAAACCCCAAAAAACCTCTGGAAATTAGAGTTTTGTTAAAGATGAATGTATCTTCAATCTGCTTTACCATGAGGGCTAGGACGAGGTGGGAGCCTCCCACTGGTAGTTGTGGCGCATTGGACTAGAATCAGAACGAGTGATTAATGGGTTGTCAGAGCAAGGGGCCCAGAGATGAGTGGTAGAGGTAAGGGGGAAACAGGAAGGCTGGACAAGGGGAGAGCAAGTCTGATTTTTTTACGCAGTTCTTGTGTCACTTTTGTCGTTTGAGATGCAGACCTTTAAAAAGAATAGGAGGGGTCCCTAGCTGGCTCAGTCGGTGGAGTATGCAGCTGTTGATCTTGGGGTTGTGAGTTTGAGCCCCACGCTGGGTATAGAGATTACTTTAAAAGAATTATTACTAAACAGACTGAGGAGTGAAAGAAGTTCATTAGAGACCTGACAAACACGAAAAGGAGTGGGAAGCCAGAACTGAGCTGAGGAGAGTTTTACTTATTTATTTTTAAAGATTTTATTTATTTATTTGTCAGAGAGAGAGAGAGTGCGCGCACACAAGCAGGGGGGAATGGCAGGCAGATGGAGAAGCAGACTCCCCGCTGAGCAAGGAGCCCGATGCAGGACTCGATCCCAGGACCCTGAGATCATGACCTGAGCTGAAGGCAGACGCTTAACCGACTGAGCCACCCAGGCAAGAGTTTTAGACCATGCTGCAGATCCAACATGTGTGAAGGGAAGCAGGGAGGCAGCAGGTTTGGGCAGGGAGAGCCTCAAAGAGCCGTGCAGATCTGGTAAGGTCTTGGCCAGCTGATTGGGGGAGCTCCAGAACAGACTGCCCATTAGAGTCCCTGATGGGGCAGAAATGGCCAGTCCCCAGTGCTCTTGCTGTGGTCAGTCACTGCTGGAGGCGGCCTAGGAAGAATATACCTTCAGCTCAAAAGCCAGATTGAGTCCTGGGATCCTGGTGGCACTAAGAGCCAGAGGTGTCCACTGCCTGTGGTCCTTATAGCTGAACACTAAGTCCTTTCTCTAATAGAGGTCCAAGTGGCACATCTCATGGCTGCTGCCACAGGACCTCAGTTGCTTGGGCAGGGACGGTCTATTGAAAGGGCAAATGAGGTAAAATCTCCATCTTAGACCTCCCTTCCCCAGGCTTAAAAGGGCTAGAATGCCCCTCATCTTTTCCAGGTGGAAGCACCTTGTCCTCTCTAGGGCACACCCAAAGCAGAAGACAGGCTCTCAACTGCTGCTTCTTTTCTAGCCCTGGAGTTGGCCATGGTGGCAGCAAGTTTCCTCTTTTGGGGTGTCGGTGACCCTCTGAGTTGGGTCATTATGACTTATTGTGGTATTGTAGGATGGGCAAGAGAAATGGATCAAGGAAGAGACATGAAAATTTGCATAAGTGAGGGCAGCTAGAATGAGAACTTCCTACAAGTTCCCAGTTAACAGTCCTTCAGTTTCCAACCAGGTTGTCAGGACCTGCATTGTAGAGAGGGCTGCTGCGTATAGTTGCACAGGTTGTGCACTGTTCAAAGGCATCTCGGTATAAAGGGATGAGGGGGCCCAGGTAAGGTTATATCAGTTCAGAGGAAGGGGTGCCATTTTGCAGTTTTACCTGTTTATATTCACACAAAGGTGCCTAATATACTAAAGGAGGCCTTAGTCAAAGGTGAGTTTAGTAGGCTTTACCCAGTTTCACTACTACTAGCTGATATTTGCTTACTATTTATTTTAAATTTGCATGTATGTGTTTATTTTTTATTTTGTTATTTTTTTAAGTTTATTTATTTTTTTAGTACTGTCTCTGCCCAATATGGGGCTTGAACTCACGACCCCGAGATCAAGAGTCACATGCTCTTCCAACTGAACCAGCCAGGTGCCCCTGCATGTATGTGTTTAAACAATGAATACAAATGATATAAACCAAAAGTAAAAGCGTCTATTCATACCCACTCAGGTCCCACTTTATATTAGCTATAGTTGATGCTAACTGGTTAAAGGCAAATACCCGAATAGCCACTTCAGACAGTAAAAGTTGATTGCTCCCTCACATCACAGTCTAGTGTGAGTTGGGGGCAGTCTGGGCAGTATATGGTTGTTAGAGACCGAAGCTGGTCAACATTCATCTTCAGTGCCCAGGTGCCAGTTTGCGCTGGATCTGCCCACAGTCAGGAGAAGAAAGAGCACACGAAAGATACTGCAGGAGATTTTAGGGGCCAGGCCTGGAAGTGGCGCACATCCTTTCCCCCCGGGTTCCACTGGCCTGTCTCAGTCACACGACCCCACCTGGTTGCTCAGGAACCAGAAAATGTC